TAAACAATACTATTCCTTTTGTGTTCCTAAGAATTGAATTTTATTTTTCCGAAGTTTCATAAGTACATTTAATATGAGTATTACTTTTGATGTAATATTAAGTTCATCAATGTGAAATGTTTGCTTACATGCTATAATTAATTGGAAACTTATGGTTCTTTATATCTTGTAGATCTCTCTCCTGCATTTGTAATAAAAACTATACCACCAAAAGGGAAAACGAGTGCAGGAGAAGCATTCCAAACAGTGATATTGGAAAGACCTGAAAGCCATGACATTGAAGACTTTTCCTTTAGAGAAGTCCAGAAAAATATACATGATTTTGAGTATCAATGGGGAGATGATGAAGGAAGTTACAAAGCAGTGCTTCTGACCCAGAAAGAAAATCTCACTGGTAGAAGAGATCGACATGGTAGAAGGGCTGTAGGAAACAAGCTTATTAAAAATCAGTGTGGAGTAATCTTTAAGTCACACGTGCTTCATCTGCAACTATTTCAAAGTAAAAGAAAAGTTGACGAATGTAATCAAGTCAAGTCTATCAACCGTGGTTCTTCAGTTTCACCACTTCCAGAAATTCCTTCTAGTGTCAAAACCCACGTTTCTAAAAAAGATGAGAATGATTTCATCTTTTCTTTATCACTCACACAAGGACTAAAAGTAAACAATAGTGGAAAACCTTACAAATGTACTGAATGTGGCAAGGTGTTCACTGAAAATTTACATCTTGAATGTCATCAGAGAATTCATACTGGAGAGAAGCCTTACAAATGTAATGAGTGTGGTAAAGCCTTTAGTGTTTATTCAAATCTAACTACCCATCAAGTAATCCATACTGAAGAAAAACCTTATAAATGTTGCAAATGTTGTAAGGTCTTCAGGCAAAATGGCTCCCTTGCAAGCCATCGAAGGAGTCATACTAGAGAGAAACCTTACCAGTGTAATGAGTGTGGCAAAGCCTTTAGTGTACTTTCAAGACTAACTATCCATCAGGCAATCCATACTGGAGAGAAACCTCACAAATGTAATGAGTGTGGCCAGGCCTTCACTCGAAATTGGCACCTTGTTAGGCATCAAAGTATTCACAGTAGACAGAAACCTTACAAATACAACGAATGTGGCAAGGTCTTCACTAAAACTTCACACGTTGCACGTCACAGGAGAAGGCATACTGGAGAAAAACCTTACAAATGTAATGAGTGTGGCAAGGCCTTCACTCAAAATTCAAACCTTATATGTCACAGGAGAGTTCGTACTGGAGAAAAACCTTACAAATGTAATCAGTGTGGCAAGGCCTTCGCTCGGAATTCACACCTTGTTAGTCATCAAAGTATTCACAGTAGAGAGAAACCTTACGAGTGTTATGAGTGTGGCAAAGCCTTTAGTCTTCATTCAATCCTAACTACCCACAAGATAATCCATACTGGAGAGGAACCTCACAAATGTAATGAGTGTGGCAAGGTCTTCACTCGAAATGCAAACCTTGCTCGTCACAGGAGAAGTCATACTGGAGAAAAACCTTACAAATGTAATGAGTGTGGCAAGGCCTTCGCTCGAAATGCAAACCTTGTATATCACAGGAGAGTTCATACTGGAGAAAAACCTTACAAATGTAATGAATGTGGCAAGGCCTTCGCTCGGAATTCACACCTTGTTAGGCATCAAAGTATTCACAGTAGAGAGAAACCTTACGAGTGTTATGAGTGTGGCAAAGCCTTTAGTCTTCGTTCAATCCTAACTACCCATCAGAAAATCCATGCTGGAGAACAACCTTACAAATGCAATGAGTGTGGCAAGGTCTTCACTCGAAATGCAAACCTTGCACTTCACAGGAGAAGTCATACTGGAGAAAAACCTTACAAATGTAGTGAGTGTGGCAAGGCCTTCACTCAAACGTCAAACCTTATATGTCACAGGAGAGTTCATACTGGAGAAAAACCTTACAAGTGTAATCAGTGTGGAAAGGCCTTCGCTCGGAATTCACACCTCGTTAGTCATCAAAGTATTCACAGTACAGAGAAACCTTACAAGTGTTATGAATGTGGCAAAGCCTTTAGTCTTCGTTCAGTCCTAACTACCCATCAGAAAATCCATACTGGAGAACAACCTTACAAATGTAATGAGTGTGGCAAGGTTTTCACGAAACATTCAAAGCTTGCATGTCACAGGAGAAGGCATACTGGAGAGAAACCTTATAAATGTTATGAATGTGGGAAGATCTTCAGGTATGATAGCTCCCTTGCATACCATCGAAGAATTCATACTGGGGAGAAACCTTTCAGAAGTAATGACTGTGGCAAGCTCTTCAGTGCACGATCAAAGCTTGCAAGGCATCACAGAATTCATACTTGAAAGAAACCATGCAAATGAGTGTGGCAAAGTCTTCAGTCACAATTCACCCCTTGCATGACGTTAGAGAATTAATTCTCAAGAGAATCCTTACAAATGCAGACTATGGCAAACCCCTCACGAGTTCAAGCATTAACACTGGAGAGCCCATGCTAAATAACAAT